CTCCAATGGGCCGATTTATCTCAATAATGGCTCCTTTTGTGTGACAAGGCAATTTCACTGGCCAGAGGTGGTTTTGGCTGCCTGTCTTTCCCCTCTCATAGATAAAAGTTGTTTTCAGACACACTGAGAGTGGAGGAAAAAGGGAAAAGAGTTGAAAAGTTGTTTTGGTATTGCTCTTGATATAATGCACTACGTATATAATGCTATACACTAAATAAACCAAAGTCTACAGGTTTACTTGAGTAAAGGGAAATTTGTCCTTTGCATTTCAAGCCTATCTTTCCACTAGGCCGCTAGGGCCTCTGTCTGGAGAATGTTGATCAAGGCGTCTGTAGCTGGAGAGACCGGCGCACTAGATTAATGTGATTGTACTAACTGGTTAGTCAGGAGGACTCAAGCTGCACATGTTTTACAGTTTGTTTGGAGAGCTCAGTTAGCAGGCCGTTAGAATAGTCTTACTTACTAGACACAGATGCATGCTAAGACGCTACAGGTCCCCAGTTCAATGGTAAATGCTGTAGACCAGGTGTCTCCAACCTTTTTCACCCAGAGAGCTACTCCTTTAAACGCCCTGTGAACAAAATTGGTCATATATTGACATTGGGTACAGGCATTATTAATCATTGCAAATCTGTTACTAGTGACAAAGTATTTCCATTTGCAATAACAAATAATGATAATGAATTATACCATCTGAAATATTAAGTCAATTATTTGATTTGTTTATTTCTAAATAATTTGTTGAGATACCTTGAAGGGGATGGCGAGCTACTGGTGTCTCCCGAGCTACAGGTCGGAGACGTCTGCTGTAGATGTTACTTATTCCTCGGGGTTCTCACCAGGATTTTTCCGCAGCATCTTTTTAGAACGTAATACAAGCTATATAATTCAGAAGCATTTCCGATCTCAATGTGGCATTAAGCAAATTAAAACGATTTTGGTTAAAACATTTTGGTGTACAAATTTCCGTCCACTGACTAGGATGGACGTAACTACAAGTGTATGAACCATTTTCCTAAGAAAGTAAAATAAACCCCACTACACTGTTGCATCCTTTTCTTCAAGCCTATCAAGACCGTATGTACAGTGCTCTCCTGAAGAACGGTGTTCTGCATGTCCAGGTGTCGCCATGGAGATATCCTTTTTAATTTTAACTCTGGCTTTGATCGAGTTACATCTGAAGCAGGACGCATATGTTCCTGAGTCTGATGGCCATTGAGTGGAGAGCTATGAAATCTGACTATTTCATTTCTTCCTTTCATTGCTTGTTTCCTGGCTCTTTGTGCAGAGCCAGGAAACAACCACATTCATCCATCTATGAACAGACTTCTGAAATCAGTGTGGGGAAAAGCTAATTTGTTTGGGAGATACAATTTGTGTTCACCTAAACTTCTGTGTGGGCCCGCAACACTCCCATGGATTTTTTCATTGGACATTATTGAAAAGTAGGCTCGTAGATCAAATAAACATATGGTATATTTATTAATTCAGGTCCTAAACCATGAGAGCAAAGTAAAGTAGTGTGTGGCATTCTAGTTTTGGTTTAGTTAAATGGGGCATGTGCATGATCATTCAGTTTACTTATCGAAAGGTGATATAAAACATAAGTATATGGCGCATTTCACAGACCAAGGTCACATGCAATATTATTTTTTTTCTTAATAAAAAATGTTCCGAACCACACTTTTTTAACTTGACTTTACTGGTAAACCCCCCCAGCCTAAAGAGATTGTTGATACCCCTTGGATCATAACAAACAATCAGATCATCACACTTTGGTTGAAGCCACACCCTCCACCATCTCCGATACAAAATGCATCTCTAAATGCTGGTGAGGACCAAGTCGTATTAATCAAATATGAGCGAGGTTGTATTAATCAAACATGTCGGCCCGCTTTCTCTGTTTGGAAATAATCGCCGTGTCCAGGGTACAGAGGCTTACGCATGCAGCACTCCAGTGCCGCTAACGGCGGGTCGTGTGTTGGTGATAATGACACAGTGGTGACAGGGGAGTGAGAGTGAAAGAGCGGCACAGAAGAGAGAGATGGCTCAGTCCACCATCTCTCCATTTAGCCTTCACACCGGGGTCCACTGCTCTGTTTACCGGCTCACGGGGCCTCGCTGCTTCACAAACAAGCCGCTGCTTGTTTAGAATGTGCCATTCTGAAAAGATACAAAGAATGCTGTCAGTTGCTGTGTTTTGGTCATGCTTTTTCTATTAGGAGAAATGGATTGAAAAGAGAAGCGTTGGTTGAAAGAAAAACAGTGTGTGATCGGCAGGAGGTATGTGCTGTGTTAATGGTTTTACTGGTTGGATTCACAGTTGTTTCTGAATTGAATAACAAAGGTTAGGCTGCTATCACTATCATAATAACAAATATTAAATAAATAAAGCAAATTATGTGTGCTTGTCCCTTTTCATCCAAGGATTTTTATTTTCTTCAATGGTACCAGTGTTTTTTCTCTGCTTATCCTGATGAGCTCCTGACCAGTGCTCATCTCTCTTGAACTTTAAAATATAACATATGAAACAAAATGGAATGTATGGTGACTTCAAACTAAAAGCAGCTCAATTGGGACTTGTCGCCTGACTGGGATTTTACTGTAAATGTCATAATCCAAGTCAAATCCTTGAGATTTATTAGAAAACAAGGACTTCAGTATCTAGTCCCTAGACAGATGTAAAGTGTACAAGACTTGTTGTGAAGCAAAGCACTTCCAAAAATTATTCTTGTGGAACAGTAGAAGTGGGCGGCTGAAGTTGACCGTGTGTGTAGGTTGGCGGTTCGAATCCAGCTCCCGACAAGATGGATTGGTTGGCCGTGCTGATTTCTCCTTCCGTTTGCCTGTGTGTCGTTGAGCAAGACACTTAACATGCCATGCTCTCTGTGCCTGTGGCTTTATTCTGGTGTGTGAATGGTCCCATGATGTAACAAGAGCCATATACAGTACATGTGTCAATTTACCATTTATTAGTCATTTGAAAACCAAGCAACTGCAGCTTTAAATATGGCAAGACTAAAGAAAGATGCTCTGTTCCTATTCCCTGTCAGTCCCAATAGCTGTGTTTAACAGTGTGTCCCATATTCTTGACCCTAATTTACTCCGGGTTAAATAAGTGCCCAATCTGTGGGATTTCCCGAGCAGCGCTGATGACTGGATCGGGGCCTTCACCCATGGGTGCGTGTGACGTCCCATACAAAAATTTCAGCCACACATTCACTGAACTTGAATCAAGCGAGCTGCACGTTGTTTATGGAAAGCCGACAGTAATTGATCTCTCCCCACAATGGTAATTAAAGGGCAATCTTCTCTCTTGGCCCAGCGTCTTTTAGTGCACATAATGAGCTATGCTGTGTATAACCCATGTTTCCTTAAGTATTTGACAACTATCCCCTGTATATTTCATTCTACTTGCATAACACTTTTAATACACTCAAAGACGCTTCACATGGAGACATTAATTCACTTGACTCAATACACTCTGGTGATACTGTATATATTTTCAAATACATATTAGTCTGTGTATTCTCTAAATGTATTGCTAACTAATGTCATCACAACAAAGTTCTCACATAACAGTTGGTCACAGTAGCAAGTTACATTAATTTATCACAAATTAATAATATTCACGAGTTTAGAAAATATTGAATGGAGTTTTGTGAGAAAATGTTCAGTATTGTTTGAGATGCAAATCATGAAATCCAAAGGTGTCCACAAGCGGCCTATTTAAAGAAAAGCTTTTGGGCACTGGACAGATATGGTGCGTGCTGACATTCAGATGAGTAGATTGGGGATGCGTCCATGTGTCTGTGGCCGCAGGAGAAACACATGTTCATATGATGGGCTGACCTTTGCAGCAGTATGTAAATGAGCTGGAGTTCTGCTTCTGTTGTGGTGCTTAGTCTAGGCCAATAAATATATTATTGATATAACACATTTTAACACAATGCTGGGAGTAGTCATTTATTATTTATTATGTTTAAAATGTGACAATTTGCGACACTGGCTCAGTTGGTAGAGCAATAGCCTTTGAGCCTAAAGGTTGTGGGTTAGATTTTCTCCACCTTCTCCCACTGATGTCTGCTGTCGTTGTGTCCTTGCGCAAGACGCTTGACCCAACTTTGTCCGAAGCCCCTGTGGACTCACCACCTGCAGGAGGACCAGTGAGGGGCTGGTGCTCTGTGAATAGGGCGCAGCTCTGATTGCCACCCCCCCCGACCCAGAAATTGATGAAGGGGTAGAAAATGGATTGATGGGAGTACACCGTAGACATTACACAAGACATTTCTATGTAAGGATTGAAAAAGAGCCATATATAAAACCATCTATGCTGTGTATTTTGCATCCCAATAGTCTAACATTATTTTATGAAGTCTGTGATCATTTGTATTTTTTCCTCGTTTGTACCAAGGCCCTGTGAGACAAATCCATCAGTCTATATGATGAATGATTAAGAGAGAAGTCAATGGACCATGGGTCAAAGCCTTTAGGTCTGATGCTCTCAGCCCCTTTCATCTAGTTCTGTGCTGCTCTTTGGAAGATTCTTGACTTACTCTCGGGATAAACCATTTTCAAACTAACAAAATGTCTCATTTCTCCAAATGTTCCCTTGCATGCCTTTTTCCCTTATATTGAACTGCACTGATCCATGTCAGCTGTGATTTCCCATGCGTACAGCACTGAACAACGCACGACTTGAACATATAACCCCTAACAGTATGCGCTCCTATACAAACAACAATATTTCTGCCAATTAATCTTTCCATTTATTTATGTACTCTCCAAGTCTCCAATAGGTCATAATAGGCTTTTACAATGTACTCTTCTGATCTAGTCAAAGGGTCATGTTTACAAGGCAATTACATACTTCACGTCTCCCCTACTGTCATGGCTGCTCCTCTTGTCTTTATTTAGACGTCCGAACAAAGTGGAAATAAATTGCGTTTTCTGCTTCGATTCCAGGCCTGTAGCTGCCACGCCACCAACTATTAAGCACAATGTCATATGGCTCCATCGACGGAAGCTCCTTTGGCGGTCGCAACCCGTTCGGAGGTCCAACGAGACAAGGGTACCAACCAGTCGGTAAGAAGGCTATCGATTTCCTTTTTCTTTTACTGTTTTGTAGCGTTGTGACTTTGGCTCGTCCTTCCTTTTTTCTCCCCCATATTAAATTTAAGAGTCGAGAATAATTGGTACGAACAAAGCGTGCCTCAGTGACTTTCATTCCCTCGCAAATGTAAAAAGAAAGGAACAGTAGCATTCCAAACCGCAATTATTCATAAATGACAAATGTTCTTTTGGTTTTAATGCCAAAACACTTCATGAGTGTGTGTGTGTGTGTGTGTGTGTGTGTGTGTGTGTCACCCAGACCAATCTTGACAGTGATTTTCAGAAGTAAAAAGACAGAAAATGGTGGATTGTTTTGGAGTATTATGTGCACACAATTTGTTGAGGTCGAATGGTGTTGGATGAGTCAACATGGCTGATTATACAAGAGATTCAAAATACTTACAGAAAATGCATTCTGAAGTTAAAGTTAATCTAATTCATATTTGGGTTATTCCACAAACACATACCTGAAGCTACCATAAGACACCCTGGGCTTAAATACATGCACTGAGGGAAAAATATCTTAATTCGCTAATTTGTGTGGTATCAGTACTCGAGCACTAATCTGTTCTGTGATATTTTACCCATCAATCATCACCGCTGCTGAAATGGTCGAAAGCAAAATAAAAAATGTAGAAAGCACTCACCCCTCACTCCTTTATTTCCTCCGTTAAACAAAAACTTAGTCTACAACACATTGGTTTTAATCTAGTTTGAGATGTTGTATATTTTATTCAATATTACTAGTCAATATTTAGTGATCGTACTATAATAAATGTATGTTTCTGTTTGTGGTGTAGTGAAGCTCCAGCAGCAAAAGCAACGTATCTATCTGTGAAAACATGTATCTGCACTACTGCTCCTCATTTGCATATTCATGTCTAATCTGTCTAAACCTTTAAACACTTGTTCAAAGCGTCATGTTTTATTCTGAAATGGAATCTTTTCTGTGCAGAGGTGTCACGCTATTCTTGGGTCTGTGTAGATTTTTTTCGGCTGCTCTGGTTTCCCCTAAAACAACAACATTATTAGCACTTCAAATTGTTCTTTAACTATTGATGTTATTTTGTTTCTGTGCTCGATCCTTCCAGAATGTGCATGACTGTTGCACATTCTGTCTGGTTCATTGGCTTTTGACTTAGAAGAATGGTTGTGTAGGACATTTTTGGTTGATTTTAGCATAAATTGGCTGGAAACTTTTCTTGAATTAAAACGCATTAGAAAGGAAGTCTAAGCTGGTGTATTGTTTTTGAATGAAAAGAAGTTTGTGTGAGTATTGTAATAGTGGTAATTTCTTAAATATTGTACATCTCAGCGTTATTGTCTTCTAAACTGCAGAGAGAAGAATGAAGTATATTCATTCTTGTCTCGGAATTAGATTATTTGTACATTCTATGGGAATATTTAAGCACGAATTATGGAGATTAAATATTTAACAATTGAAATCAGAGTAGCATCGAGTGGCTTGGAGTCACTGGCTTACATTAGTTTTATATGGATCTAGGAGCTGTCTGTATAAACTGTGTATTAATAAATAGCCTGCCTGCATCATTTGAAAACAGGCAATCAGTTGTGTCGGCTATTTACAGATGAAGAAATGAATAATTCAAGCAATCAACAACACACATGTAAAAGACATGGAGTAATTGACCTGTTTATATTCCCAGTCTGTTGATGCATGAAGTTTGCAATGAACTTTACTTTTTGCTTGTCAGTTTACCTGTATACAGGGATCAAGAGTTCCGAGCTTCCGGCTCGACCGCACAGCATTGTGGGTAGACTTCTCAAAAAAGTGGGCTTGAAATCACGCTCTCCTATTAGATTACCTGTTACAAGCGTGATCTGTCTCTCTTTTTTCCAGCCCATCGATTGTTTTCATCGCTACAAAAATCACCAATTTCAGACATTTAGAAGGTAAGGTAAACACAACTGACTGACTATAGAGCTACACGCAGCTTATGCTAATTACGAGGATCGAATGCTTACACGCGAGCTTTATAAACTTACCCAAAGCTGTACTTTGGACATAGAGCCCTCAGAGCGTTTCATGAACTTATAAATAACATTTCTGATCAGAGCATTCAGAGTGGGGACATTATTAAGAAAAAACAGTGAGCTGGCAGTGTAGAGAGGTGTGCAGTAGGCTTTAAAACAAGTTATTTTCACTTTCTCTGCACACATGTGAAATCTCTGTGCTTAAGTAGCCTGTCCATACAGCTTACAGTACTGCCTCTGAATGTCATCGTCATCACTGAGGTCACTCCTGATTACGTGCCCCAGGTATTTGGCCTTCTCTACATTCAGAAGCTCCACACCAGACAAATATGTCCAAAGTACAGCTTTGGGCAAGTTTATAAAGCTCGCGTGTAAACATTCGATCCTCGTAAGTATCATAAGCTACATGTCGCTCTATAGTCAGTCGGTTGTGTTTACATCTAAAACCACAAGAAAAAAAAATGCATTGCTTTTTTGTTACATGAAAAAATCTTTCCCTTACCTTCAAAATGTCTGAAATTGGTGATTTTTGTAGCGATTAAAACAATCGATGGGCTGGAAAAAAGAGAGACAGATCACGCTCGCAACAGGTAATCTAATAGGAGAGCGTGATTTCATGCCCACTTTTTTGAGAAGACTACCCACAATGCCGTGCGGTCGAGCCGGAAGCTCGGAACTCTTGATCCCTGTATTAAGTATTCCGTTTTCAAAGTAGATCTGATTTATTTGTTAAAAATAAATAAAAATAGTATGAGTATTTGTTTAGAAATCGTTTGTTATAAAATGCATGAATGTAGACTGCTCATTTCAGGGGGTAATGCTGGGGGCAGTAAACTTTAGAGTCCTTCCCCTCTACGCACATATCTTACACTAAAGGATAATGAGAGGCGAACGTCCCATGCAGTGAGTGCAGCTGTTTACTTCGTTCACTAGAACTTTTTTAGAACTTTCTTAGCATCTTAAGATTAAAGAGACTATAACTTTGCCATCTGCTAAGTCTGGCTTTCTGAGTATTTGATCAGGTTCAGAGCTGAGTTCTTCAATCCATACATATACGGTATATACAGTATATGTATCCATATATAATGGGGTGGAGTGGAGTCCCTTCTTAAACTGTTTTTTTTAAATGACAATAGCGCTAACCATTTGTTTCAATGAAAGAAGATGCAAAGATTTGTTATTTGCAGATTTAGTAAGTAAGTAATGTTTATTTTTATAGCACATTTTTACAGGCCAAGGTCACCCAAAGCGCTTTACAATGTTCAGAGTTCAGATATTGTTCCAATCATTCCACACACTGTGACGCCAAACACACTGGTGCATCAAAGCCCCCAATCAACACCATCCATTCACTCTCTCAATTATATTCAAACCTCTTTTGCATGTTTTTAGTGGTAGGGGAAACCAGAGCACCCGCAGGAAACCCATGCAGGCTCGGGGAGAACATGTAAACTCCACTCAGAAAGGCCCTGTTCCGACCAGGATTCAAACCCAGGACCTTCTTAGTACTGTTTCCAAACCCGAGCAGATGGTTTGCACATCTCAGTGTTTTTGAAGATACACGTGGCACAACCATTACACAATAGTCCATTTTAATAGCTATGTTGGAGTGAAAAGTAACATTTTTAAATTTTCTAATAATGACCGATTGTGTCCTTGACCGTGTTGTCTAGTGTTTAGTGCCCGTCTTGATGAAGGGGACCAAAACATAGATCAGGGATAAACAGTGTGCGAAAGGCAACTTTATTTGATTTGATCCTCTCAGAGCGTCCATTAGCCTCTTAATGTGATAGAACCAAGACAGGGCCCTCAGGCAAAACATGTGCCGGGCCAATCGTGTGAAGGTGTGTGTGCGTGTACATGTGTGTGTGTGTGTGTAATGAAATGAGGAGTAGACAGATGGAGAGTGACTTACGGGAGAGGAAAACATGCCCAGGACAATGAACTAATGTTTCATATTGTGGGCAGGACGGTGAGCCAATTGGACAAACATGCATGGAAGCATCCGTGTGTATCGGGGGGGAAGAGATGAGGTTTTGTATTCAAACTGCTTGAGATCACAACACAGTCAGAGCGGGGACAGATCATGGAGACTCTGTTTAAGATTGTATAACGGTGTTCATTTGAAGCCATGCAAATTAGAAATGCTAGAATGACTATGATGATTTTACTTATTCATGTTGTGCTTTGAGCTTGCGTATTTCCCACTGTTTAGGGTGAGATTTAGAGATCATACATGTGAATTCAACGGGCCCTGTTGTAGAAATCTAACTGGGATTAGAAATCAATTTAACTTAAGAATGAATCTAATGATGAATTAGGATATCTGGGACAAAGTTCAAAGCTAATCAATCTGTTCAAGCTAACTAATCTGTTGTTCTGTAGAGACGCGAGGCCAATGACGGGATTGAGGCAGATACTAGCTTGATATCGGGGCAAGAGGAGCGTGGTCACCGGTCATACTGACAATTCTTTGTAAGATCAGAGTAAAACGTCAGAAGAGAGGGGGGTTTGGGTTATTGCTACCACTTAATCTTGGACTCAGAGACGCCATAGATAGACTCTTCTGTTTGTTCCATCTTATGAATATGAAAGAGAGTGAGCACTATTTAGCAGATCTACTCAAGACCTGCTCACGCGGTGACGGTTGTATTTCCTGTATATGTATACATTTACTGAGATAATAAACCACACTTTGATTTGTATTACAGCTCTTTGTTGTTTATTTTATATTTAATATTGTGTATTTCAATCCTTAGAAATTCCACAACAGCCCTTTCTCCAATTATATTATTTTAGTCAGTAATAAATACGGCATGCATTTAGACTTTGCCTTGACAAAACACAACATCAACTTTTGTCAAACTTGTAATTACACCAATGTTCAGATACGCATAATAGATGATACATACATACATTCAAACTGTATTAATAAATAAATCCTTAACTCATTGACTGCCATTGACGTATTTGTCCGA